AAATGCAAACACACATCACACTTGCATGGTGATCAGTGCAGAAGATAAAATTATTGGGAGCCTCTTGCAACTATAAATAGTTGTTAGCAAAGGAAGTGAAAATGGGGTAAAAACCTGGAGGAAATGAGGACATGGAGGAAGTAGTTGGTATAGTCTCAGAGGAGGTGAAAGTGAAGTTCAAAGATGTGAAGGCAGCTGCCAGTCTCAAGGACAGAGGGAGACCAGGGAGCTACTGGAGTGGTCTAACAGAAGCAGAACTGAGCAGAAGACCAGATAACAATATATGACAAGAGGGAGTGTCCGATGGCTGGTGGCAGATGACAAAATGTGCTAGGCCCCACTGGCTTTTTTAATGATTTTGCCTTTTACTTCAAAATGAAGTGGAAAAGCACGAAAAAAATCTAAGCAAAGGGAAAGATGACACTGTTACCAGAATCATGCAGTCTACTGAAGGGGGCTCTGGCAAAAGTCTAATTAGACTTCTAATCAGAGGAGGTTTTCAGAGTCCTGAAGTAGAGAACAGTAGCTTGGATTGGGATGTTAAAAGTGAAAATGGTGCCGAAACCGGTTTGGCTCAGTGGTAGAGCGTCGGTCTGCGGACTGAAAAGTCCCAGGTTCGATTCCTGTCAAGGGCATGTACCTTGGTTGCGGGCACATCCCCAGTAGGGGGTGTGCAAGAGGCAGCTGGTCGATGTTTCTCTCTCAACGATGTTTCTAGCTCTCTAACTCTCTCCCTTCCTCTTAGTAAAAAATCAATAAAATATATTTTTTTAAAAAAACACGTGAAAATGGTGGGAATCATTGCTTTCTGAGCAAGTTTTTAAGATGAGCTTGGAGTTGTTGCTCAAGATCATGTTTGGAGTTTGAAAGAAGTCAGGCACTAAGCCTGTCTCCAAGGTTAGTTGATTAAGGTGACCACAAGTTTGCATATGCCTTAAACACATATTAAATATCGAAGTCACCAAGAATTTTGACCCAAATACTGTGGAACTGAGTGTAAGGCAGAAATTAAACTCCATAAGAGTGACCAGAAAATCTGCAGATAACAGTGGGAGGTGAGGTTAGGGAGAAGAAGAGATAATGGGAGAAGAACAGATCTTCTGTAGCTGATAGTATCAAGGAAGGGTAATGAATGGTACATTCTTGAGAGATTAAAAGGGAGGATAATAAGGAGAATTAGAACTGTCTTGAAATACCAATGAGAAACTAGGGGTCCATCTCTTAAATCTCCATGGTCAAAGATAAGAGGGGTGTGCAGCGAAAAACCTGCCCTTTGAATGTACTGCAGAGAAAACACTGCTTTTTTATTTGCTCTGCAGCAGAGCAAAAAGGAGAGAAAAGACTCGCTCTGAAGGTGGTGGGGGTTTTTTGGTTACAGTTCTCCTGCCATTTTGCCTGGCTATGGTCTAATTTTAGGTAGTAACTCTTTGAACACGTTCGCTATTTCATCTATGAGATTGTTCTCTTAATATTTTTTTAGTTTGGGCGTTCAATTTAGGTAAATTATTGTCTTTTTAAAAAATTATCCTGTTCATTCATGTTTTCAAATTTTACATTATTAAAGCAAAACTGTTTCATAATAAATGTAATGCCTTTGTTTTTGTATTATTTCCATCTTAGTATTATGTAAATTTGTACTTTTTTCCTTTTTTAGTAGATTAGCTAGTGGTTTATTCATTTTGATTTTTTTTTGTTTCTTTTTTTTCAGAGCACCAAATTTGGATTTACTTCTTACTTAAAAATATTTTTATAATACATTTATACTTGCAGTTACACTAGTTAATTCTTGTATTTACTGGTGGGTTTTGTTTATTTTATGATGTATTACAACAAGTGTATAAAATTTTCATAAAATTCTCAAAAATAAAAACACACTAATTTCACTAAACAAAATAACAAACATAATCCAGCAACTAAATTCAAAATTGAAATGTCATAACCTAATGGAATTCGTATAAAAAATGTAAAATAGATTTATTTAGAAACAACATATATTAAGGTCAACCAGCATCCCATTAACTCAAGAAAAAAAAGCATTACTCTCTGCATAGATGGTAGGTATTTATTTGACCTGAATTAACCACCATTCTTACTTTTATTTTATTTTTTAAGATAGAGAGGAAGGAAGGGAGGGAGAAAAGGGAAGAGAGAGATATATTGGTTGCCTACTTCATGAGCCTGGACTAGGCCAGAGATCAAGCCTACAACCTGATTACACGGGAATTGAACCCATGACCCTTCTGTGCACAGAGGGGCACTCTAACCACTGGGACACTGGCCGGGGCTACCATTATTATTTTCAAAAAGTCAATAAAATAGGAATAGAACAATAATTTCTTATGCAAATAAAATATATATTTTTTAAACCAAGAATCTAATAAAATGAAAACATAGGAAACTTTCCCACTCATAAAATAAAGTATATTTATTGTAAGAACTAGCAAGTGAAATTAAAAGAAAAATAATGGATAGAACGATATAAAATTATCACTATTTATAAAATACAGTCCTGGATAATATAAGGAAATCAACTGGAAATTATAAAAATAAGATAAATAAGAAAGTAGATTAAAATTTATATAAAGAAACTAATAGCTTTCATATATACAAACATCAACCAGAAAGAAGAATAAGAAAAAGAACTCTATTTACAATAACAGACACAGAAACAGACCAACAAAAAAATGTATAGAACTTATACAAAGAAAATATTAAAAAAAATAAAAGCTACTAAAGGACATAAATAAAGCATACAAATAAAGAGGCAGAAAGTTCTTGGTTAGAAAGATTCATTATCAAAATGAAATAATTTAACCCTAAGTAATTAATTTATATATTTGATATGTTCTCAATAAAAATATAGTTAAGCGTGGCCAGCATGGCTCAGTGGTTGAGGGTTGACCTATGAACCTGGAGCTTGGGGTTGGATTCTTGGTCAGGGTATATACCCAGGGCACAGGCTCCATCTTCAGTGTGGGGTATGCAGGAGGCAGCCAATTGATAATTTTTATTCATGATTTATGTTTCACAAATACACACACACACACACACACACACACACACACATATACACATATATACAGAGTTAAAGAAAACAAACAAAAAAAAAACACTGAACTAAGTTGTTTAAATATAAAGGAAAGAAAGATTACAGAAAGATTAACCAGAAAAATTTTTAGGAAAAACAGCATTCAGGTAAGATAGCACCACCATATTATAAAGCATAGTTTAATACCTGAATAATTAAAATTATCTGATAGTTACTCATGAAAAAAATAGGTCAGCTAATGGTTTAGAAGAATAAGTCTAGAGTCAAAGTCATACACATAAGAAAATGCATGATAAAATAACTGTAAAATTTATAATTAGTGAGAAAAAGATGAACTATCCAATATACAGGGTAGGACAAGTGTAGGTATACACTTGTTCATATGTAAAATAATACAATTAATAACAATACAAAAATAAACTGTTTCATGTACTCACACATGTAAACCTACTCTAGCTACATCCAGTACTGAGTGGAGAAAATGGCAAAATTTCCTAAAATATCTTGCCGTATAGTAGGATAAATCCCTAATACAACAAAGATTTAAACATATAATATGAAGCCAGTAAATCACTAGGAGAAAACCTACAATAACTGCTACTTGGGCTTACATATCAATAGGAAGATGGGTAATGACTATGAACACAGATTTTACAGAAAAAGTAATAGAACTGGCTCTTAGACATAAGAATTGTACTCAAACTCATAAGCAATTGGTTAAAAATAAGTGCTACTTTTTACCTATTTGATTGGCAAAAAAAACAAACAAAAAACAAATATTTGATGTGACACACATCTAAGAGACTGTGTAGAATTAATTATTCTCAACTTGACAACTGGAATTGTAAATTTTTTAAGACCTACAGAATATAATTTGAAAGTTATTTCAAAAACCTACAAGTGCGTAAACCCTTTGGTTTCACTTCTGGGAATTTACTCTATTGAAATAGGTGCCCACATAGAATATGATGTATGTTCAATGCTATTTATTACTTTACTGTCAATAAAAGAGCAATTAAAATTTAAAAATCCACCCTCATTGAATTTCTGAGAGTATTATCTACATATAAAGGAATATTATGTAGCTATGAAAAAGGTTTTGAGGGAAATATTCCGTATTCATATGGAAAGATAACCCAGGATATATTGTGAGGGCGGGGGGCGGGGAGGAAAGGGGGAGACTCAGCAAGGTGCAGAAATGCATTTATATTCATTCACATTTTCTTGAAATGCATACAGAAGATCAGGAAATAAGCAAGACATTAATAAAAGGGATACCTCAGGTGGGTGACTAGATAAATGCACTGTAATAGTGAGAAATTTTGCTTTTTACCCTCTCACAATATCTAGCTGAGTATGAACACAGAGAATATATATTGATACATTCTATAGGTAAGTGATAAATTCTATAGGTAGAATGTGTATATATATTTCTATATATATGTGTGTGTGTTTGTATATATATTTGTATATAGATAGTGTGTGTGTGTGTGTGTGTATATATATATATATATATATATATATATAATTTTTTTTTTTAATAACTACCCAGATGCTGAGATCTACATGGCTTCAAATCTGAGACATTCCATGTCACTTCTCTCTGAGATCTCACATCATCAACCTTGCTTTCCAATAGTACTAAATTATATAGATGTCTCTGAAATTTTCCGGTTTCCGCTCTTCACTGCCCAGCCCCTGAACAGAGACCTGCATCCTTCATATCTGTGCAATTATAGTTAATCATTTTGTGGTTTAATCCTCTCTTTACTTTCCTCTTCCCAAAACTGAACCAAATAAGGATATGCAATTCCTAAGATTCCGGTCTCTCTGATTTTCGGATCTAATTTAGATGTTCACAGGATAAAAGGATGCTTGCTGTGCTTCTTAAATTTAATTGTGGGGTTAATGGGAGCGATGAAAACAGTGCTTTGGTTCCAACATAAATTACCTTCTCTCTGCAGGAGGAGCATTATCCGCGGCTTGGACCGTGAGTGCGTAGGTTCGCCCCACTACCAGCTCCACCCCTGGAGCGATGGTGACAAGCCCTGTTTCTTTATTGATGACGAAGTCTCCCTGATCCCCAATCAGGATTTCATAGGAGATCTCCCCATTTGTCCCTTCATCCGGGTCGAATGCAGTGAGCTGGAATTGAAAATCACAACATCAATCCTTTGGGACTTAACTTTTCACTATTGTGTTATTTTCCCCCCAACAAAAGCAGCTTGCTTTCAAAGACAGAAACAAAATCAGTAAAGGAAGTTTTCTTGGCGAATATACGCTTCTTTTGCTTGAATTGAGGCTACCTACCAGATTTGGTTATGCTACTGCAGCAATCACATCAGGAGGGATCTTTCTCTAGTTTTCTTGTAAGAGTGATTGAAGAGAAAGATTTTGGATCTTGAAGACTACCTTTATTTTAACTTAATAAAGGCAAAAAGAGGAAAGCCCTGAAGTAAATCTAATATTCCTATAGAAAACGTAATTATTTTTTCTCTATTTTACCTCCTGCTCTTGACACATACACACATATTACATGGACCGAGGCCTGGAGAAATGGAAACGGGTGAAGTTGGCTTTTATTACTCTCATTCTTCCTTTTGCTCTCATGCCCCCCCACCCCTTATGCTTTCCCTTTTGTCACCCAGAGATTCTTTTGTTCTCATGTCCCTTTATGTACATTGGATTTAGGAAAGATTCTTATAATCTGTCCACACTGACTTATAAATCATAAACAAGCCTAGAGTATTAGCTTTTTAAAATCAAACAAATGCATCCCTAAGTGTAGAATAACTAAAAATTGAAATATCAAGCCCAATAAACTTTTTTTTCTCTTTTTTTTTAAGGAAAGGGATTCAATTCAGAATACCTGAAATGATATTTCATAAGCATCTATAAGGCAAATTTGCACATATTTATAATTATTTTAGAGAAAATGGTATCAGTTAAATGCTATATTTGGGTCATTTTGTGTGTGTGGGTGTGTGTATAAACAGAGTAACCATTATTAGTATCACATGGCGTGATTAAGATAATAATTTAATGTTAAATAAGGCTCCTTAATCTTCTGATAAAAATACATTTACTTAAGGGGGGGGGATAAATTCTAGTGAAAAATCATATATATGTTTTAAAAACATTCACAAAATTTTCTGTTTTTATCATACCAAAAGTGATGGATGAGAAAAGGAAGGTGGCCCCATTTTACACATAAGAAAAACGCAATTAAAAGTGTTCTATTGAATAAAGAAAAGAAAAAAAAAACACCACATGATTTTAATAAACTTGCAGATAAATGTTTTCGTTTACTGATATTTTCTTATATATTTTCATCCATGAACATCACTTCTAGAAAACTGGTTCTTTATCATTAACAGAATTTTTTTGGGGGGGTGGGAGACTTCTGGACACTCTGGTGTACCTCTGAGATAAAATGTGAATGTGAACATGTAACTTGAAAGCTGAATTCAAATTCAGGAACCCAATGTAACGAACGGCCCTTTCAAATGTTTATATTTATTGTCCTGATGAAGTGCGAAGTGCTTTACATACCCCATCATGCCATCCACGGACAAAACTGTGCATATTCTAGTTCTAGTTTTATTACCCACTGCATTTAGAGTGATAATATTTATAGAAATAGGAGAGAGGGAGAAGGAGAAGGGAAGGAGAAAGAATAAGGGGGAGGGGGAGGCGGAAGTGGAGGTGGGAGAGTGTGAGAGAGAAGAAATTTGAGAATTTGCGAAGCTGGCATTAATTCAGCTAAATCTAAGCTTAGGTATTTGGTGCTAGATAGATGTGGTTGCCAGAGGAAAGGCTTATGTGAGAATGATAGACATAGTCCTAAAGGCAAAGGAGAAGGAAACTATTTCCAGAACTTGTCAAAATGAATGATGTATATTTATGGAGAACTATTCAAGCCAGACAAACTCATTCCCTTTTGTGTGTGGATAAAGTTAGAAAATTGGATGACTGGGGGTAGCAAAGGAGATATCAATTTTGATTATAGTAAATCACTTAACACATGTCTCAGGGAATCTTAATTAAAATTTAGCTCAAATTGCACTCAATATTAACATTCTTTGTGGGACTTAAATTGGCTAAAGGAATTTAATGATAAATGGCAATGCATCAAGTTAAAAAAAAATATAGAGGAGCATGCTTCAGGGATGTGGGTATTATGGCTGGTCTTATTTAATATTTTCATAAATGATGTTGTAAGGAAGGATAAGCTGGATTGTAATTAAACTGAAGAAGGCACTCATCTGGGAGGTGCCATAAATACAAAAAAATAAAAAATTAAAAATACCACAAAACACAAGTGACAGAAACACCCCTGCAACTACAGGACCAGCAAACCACAGATAAGCTAATATTTTCAGGGACCACAGCTAGTTATCACAGATACCACTAGCAAGGAGTAGTTTAATAAGTAAGGCAAAAATAAATTGAAGTCTCAAAAATGAAGTAGGAATAGAATAAAAGTCATAATTGACATAGAAATGATCACAGACCTGAACTATAATATAAAAGTGTGAATGTAGTCTTTTTATATGAATATAAGTATATTTTCACTAGAAATTAATTATGATTGAATTGATCATGAGTGTGTTAATCCTTTGGCAATTTTGCCTCCTGGGCATCCTGGGTCCTTGTTTCTAGGAAGAGTCCCTCATTTTCCTCTGGGGAGTAAGAATTGCCCTTCAAAGTCTTTGTTTGGGTGGGGCTGACACTTAGCTCCATCCACCCATGGCAGTGAGGCTTAGGCCTGGATATTGTTTGGTTTAAGAAATGGCAGTTACCTAAGTTGCTATATTCATACCTAAGTTGCTACATTCAAAACTAGGCAGTTAAAGGAAATAGAGTCACGTAAGTAAAATCTCATCATATTTAGTACAAAATAAGGTCATGAATACGTTTGCTCTTCTTCAAATGAAGTTCAATTTGCAAAGAGAACTCTGGCATGTACACCTGAGTTTAGGAAAGTATAGAAAATATTGTATCCTTTCTGTAAGGAGAGAGTTATGGACGTGTGCTCGCTCCATCTACTTGGTGGTAATCATAATACCAGAATTAATTTCCAAACTTAAATTAGGGAAAATAATAATCTGGAGGAAAACATTCATTTTAAGATAATATAATAAGAACCTACATGGTCTCAGGCACTGCATTGGGAGCTGGCAATAGACTAAATTTGGTAAATAAAATTAGGCCTTGTTTATTTTTTTTAATTTACTATATATGAAAAAATATTAGTAAAAAAGAGAATCCATATTGACACATTGTAACAAAGGCTATTCAAAAAATAATCGTAAAGCACAATGAGTATGTTGCAGAATAGACGTCAAAATCCTTTGGCATAGATTGTACTTAAACTGGGTCTCACAGATGAGAACATGATGGAAAAGTGTGGATTAAGAGCAGTCATGGACTGTCCTTATTTGCAGATGACCATGATACTGTACTTAAAAAATCCTAAAGACTCCATCAAAAAACTATTAGGCTTAATAAATGAATTTGGCAATGTAGCAGGATACAAAATTAATGCCAAGTAATCTATGGCATTTCTATACACCAATAGTGAACTTACAGAAAGACAGATTAAAAAAACACACACACAAAACAATCCCATTTACCATCACACCTAGAAAATTAAGATATCTGGAAATAAACTTAACTAAGGAGGTATAAGACCTATACATGGAAAACAACAGGACACTGAAAAAAGAGATAGCAGTCATAAACAGATGGAAGAACATACCAAGTTCGTGTATTGGTAGAATCAACATCATTAAAATATCCATACTACCCAAAGCAATCTATAGATTCAATGTACTATCCATTAAAATACCAACAGCATATTTCACAGACCGAGAAAGAACTCTCCAAAAATTCATCTTTATTAAAAAAAAAAAAAAAGACCCAAAATAGCCACAGCAATACTGAGAAAGAAGAACAAAGTAGGTGGGATCTCAATACCAGATTTCAATCTGTATTACAAAGCCACTGTTCTAAAAACAGCCTGGCACTGGCACAAGAATAGACATATAGACCAATGGAATAGAATACTGAATCCAGATATTGACCCAAAACACTATGCTCAATTAATATTTGACAAAGAAGCCATGAACATACAATAGAGTCTGACAGCCTCTTTAATAAATGGTGTTGGGAAAATTGAACCAATACATGCAAAAAATTAAAACTTGACCACCAACTTACACCATACACTCAGAATGGATAAACATAAGATGGGAAACCATAAAGATTCTAGAGGAATCCACAGACAGCAAAATCTCAGTCGAAGCAATCATAAGTCGAAGCAATTTCTTCACAGATATGGCTCCTACGGCAAGAAAAACTAGGGAGAAAAAAAGGGACTACATCAAAATAAAAAGCTTTTGTATAGCAAAAGAAACCATTAGCAAAACAACAAGAAAGTCCACTATATGGAAGAACATATTTATAAATGTTATCACTGATAAAGGTTTAATCTACAACATTTACAGGGAACTCATACAACTTAATAAAAGGAAGATAAATGATCCAATAAAAAAATGGGAAAGGGACCTAAATAGAAACTTAAAAAAAAAAAAAAAAAAAGACATAAGGAATGCCAAGAGACATATGAAACATGCTCAAAGTCACTAATTATCTGAGAGATGCAAAACAAAACTACAATGCAGTACCATCTCACACCTGTCAAAAAGGCTATCACCAACAAATCAACAAACCACAAGTGCTGGTGAGGATGCGGAGAAAAAGGAACCCTCATGCACTGCGGTGGGAATGCAGACTGGTGCAGCCACTGTGGAGAACAGTATGGAATTTCCTCAAAAAACTAAAAATGAAACTCCCATTTGATCCAGTAATCCCACTCCTAGGAATATATCCCAAGAAACACCAGTCAGAAAGGATATATGCACCCCTATGTTCATAGCAGCATGATTCATCATAGATAAGATTTGGAAACAGACCATCTGCAGATGAGTGGATTAGAAAACTGTGGTACATCTACACAATGGAATACTAAACTGCTGTAAAAAAGAAGGGATTCTTACCACTTGCAGCAGCACGGATGGATCTGGACAGCATTATGTTAGGTGAAATAAGCCAGGCAATGAAAGAAACATACCACATTACCT